TGAGTTGTTTATAGTTTGGTTCTGTTGTGAATATACTATCATTAAAAATACATGTATAAGTTTTTGTATAGATGTGTTTTTATTTTACTTAACTACATACTTAGAAGTGAACTTGCAGGATCATGTGGTGACTTGTATTTAAAGATTTGAGTACTGCCAGACTTCCAAAGTGGTTACACATTTTATATATACTTCAGCAATGTTGTATAAGTTCTAGCTTTGGGCCAGCAAGATGGCTTAGTGAGAAAAGGTAGTTGCTGCTAAGCCTGAGAGCCAGCTGAATTTGATCCCTGGAAACTACACAGTAGAAGGTGGAGAACTGGCTGTATAGTAGGATAGACGAGGTAAAACACTGGAAATGTTCAAGAAACATGTTTTTAGTTAGGCTGCAGCCTTGTTTAAAGAACTCAAGTCTCAAAGTCTGGATCTTGAGGGGAAGGAACTTTTATAGTTTAAACCTTGAGTAGTGCATTAAATAGCATCTTTAGTTTCTCTAACAGTAAAGAGTTGTTAGTTTTTACAAAATGTGTAATGGGCTCCAAAATGTCCCTGTCTGAGACAAACAAAAAAGAAATCATTTGTAAAGTAGGTGAGAAACCACAGGTCTGATAGCTATATTGGGACTGAAGAGATGGCTCAGCGTTTATGAGCACAGGTTGCTCTTGTAGAGGAGCCCAGCACCCACGTGGTAGCTAACAACCATCCATAACTCCAGTTCCAGAGGATTCTGTGCCCTCTTCTGACCTCCACAGGTACTGTATGACACAAGTGCACTTACGTGCATGTAGGCAATACACCAATACACATAAAATAAAAATAATAAAATATTTTAAAGACTGGTGGCTATGGCTAGTTATTTTAGCTTTTTCACTATAAACATGTCAGCTGAACTTGTCTGACAGAGAGACACACACAGATAGAAAAGATTAAAATAATCATTTTTTTCATAATTTATCTGCTATGTCATATATCAGCTCCTACAAGTTATCCCCTGAACTCCATACACACTAAAGTAACTAGATGTATTATTGTTTTTTAAAATAATTAAAAAAAATTTCTTTATTATTTTTATTTTATGTTTATGCATGCATTGCCTATATGTAGGTAAGTGCACCCATGTTGTGCAATGTCTGCATAGGTCAGAAGAGGCTGTCGGATCCTCTGGGACTAGAGTTATGGACAGTTGTTAGCTGCCATGTGGTTGCTGGGGTAGCCAACAATTCAGCTTCAGGGAGTTGATAGGGCCCATGGAGTGTCAGCCTACTAATCATTCAAATGCTCACAGGTCACCACACTGAGCACAGACATAGCCTCTCTCCTCTCAGTCACCTACTGACACAGTGTGTGGCACATTAGTTATACCTATAATGCCTCTATGAGCAGTCTGTGTTTCACTTTTTAAACTTTATATCCATGGAGAATTTCTTTTCTGGTCCTATTTGCTATTCTGTAGGCCTCTTGTATCTGGGTGGACATCTCGTTCTCTAGGTTTGGGAAATTTTCTTCTATGATTTTACTGAAGATATTTTCTATGCTTTCACTATGGTGTTCTCCTATGCACATGATTTGAAGGCTAGGTCTTTTCATGGTCTTTTCAAACCTCTCCCATGTTCCTTTCAATTTCTCATTAACTTTTCCTAAGTGCTCAGGTCCTCTACTCTGTCTTCCATCCCCAACTCTATTTTCAACATGATCCATATCCATTCTGTCATTGTGGCTTTCCACTAAGGTTTTTTTAGAAGATAGTAGGTATTTTTTAGAAGACAGTAGGTATTAGAAGATAGTAGGTACAGAAATCTAAGTGGGGCCTCCAGGGTGGTTTCCAATAGTCTGGGTTTCTCCAGTTCACTGGTTGCTGCCTCACTTTATGGGGCCTTTAAACTAGCAAAACTGTGGTACAACTCAGTAGTAAAGCACTTGTCTAGCATGTGTGAAGACCTGATCTCCATCCTTAACAGTGCAATGGTGGCCTGCTTCTGTGGTACAGTGTTTACCTGTTCACCTGAGGTTCCACTTTCCACTGGTTCAGTCATCTGTGGTCAGTCACAGATCAAAACTACCAAGCAGTAAAGTATGAGGTGAGGTCTTGTGCTGTCCAGCCCTGGGAATAAATCATCCCTTTACCCAGCATCCTCATGATTTCATACTTATCAAAACGACTGATGCATGATTGTCAGGCTGTGTTCAACCCTGGTGATGCTGGGAATGTGGGTATGCCAAAGAGACACATGAAATGTAAGGGTGAAACTCTATCAACATATATATATATATATACACACACACATATGGGGGGCAGCACAGGGTCCAGCTCTGCATGTGGCTTCAGGCCTCTGTAGGGGGAAATGAAGCATATACCTGTGGATAAAGAAAGCTGCACTCTGATACTTTTTCTTTGCTGCAGGAAGGTGGGTGACTGAAGATGTTCATGCTGTAAGCCTTGGGTGGAAGGGCCAGTCACAGCCTGGTTAAGATCCAGAAACCAGGAAGAGCAAGATCCAGTTTTGCCCCTGGCTGATCTGGACAGGTGTAGACACAGTTTCATGCAATACCATGGGCCTCATAGTTGTGGCCCCTGTAACCTGTCCATGGAGCTGTTGAGCAGCCCACATTACCCTCCTCCACTTTCTGTGGGTGTCCTAGGCTCTGGGTTGGTCTACACATCTCATTCTAGTAGATCATGTCCTCAACTCTGGACCTTGTTCAGATTGGATTGGGTTTGATGAAGAAGGGCTGTGGTGAGGCTGTGATGGGCTACATAAATGTAGCAGTTCAGGGTGTAGTGGTGGGATTCCAGACTGCCCCACTGTATCTGGTCTTAGAAGTGACAATTATGTAAGAGGAAAAATGGGCTAAAAGTGCTGTAGCAAATGACCCAAATAAACATACATATTCTTGAAAAAAATTAAAACACAGAATAAAGAAAGGATATTGAAAGCTGCAGAAGGGAAAGGCCTAGAGAATAACACCTGATTATTTGACAGAAACCTTTAAAGCAAGAGGAGCCTTGAGAGATATGTTCCAAGTCCACCACAGACAGTTCAAACTACTATACCCAGCAAAACTATGTATTCAAATTAAAGGAGTAGAGTTCCAACTCAGCTGGGGCTATAGGGAGGTCTTGTCTCAAAAAGACAAAAAAAAAATTTTTACGGAGCAATAAAAGCTTTCCATCCTTTAAAGCAAGAGGAGCCTTGAGAGATATGTTCCAAGTCCACCACAGACAGTTCAAACTACTATACCCAGCAAAACTATGTATTCAAATTAAAGGAGTAGAGTTCCAACTCAGCTGGGGCTATAGGGAGGTCTTGTCTCAAAAAGACAAAGAAAATTTTAAAGGAGTAATAAAAGCTTTCCATAATAAAAGAAATTAAATGAAGTTATGACTACAAAGCCATCTCTACAGAGGACACTAGAAGGAATGCTTCAGTCTGACCAGAAGGATAAAAGCACTCAAGAGGTCAGAGGGAAAAAATAAACCATATTAAAACATGTTTTAAAGAACAGGTTATAAAGAGATCTGAGAAAATGTCACAAAAATTGACAAAATAACAGAAGTTAATACATTTCTTTCAATAATAACTGAATATTTATGGCCTCAATTCCAAAGAGACACAGATTAACAGAAAAGGGTATCCAACCAGGCATAGTGGCCCATGCCTTTAATTCCAGCACTTGGGAGGCAGAAAAAGGCAGATCTCTGTGAGTCTGAGGCCAGCCAAGTCTACATTACAAGTTCCAGACCAATTGGTGCTACAGGGAGACCCTGCTT